GAAGACGCCCCAAAAGGCCGTTAAGATGCCGCCCAAGAGCGCACCGAGAGGGCAAAATCGTTGATTTTCATTGGTTCTCGCCGATTCGTGTTTCTGGCGCTGAAGCACCGCCCAAAAGGGCCCCAAACCGCTCCAAGACGGCCCAAGAGGCCCCCAAGAGGACCCCAAGACGGCCCAAGAGAGCCCCGAGACGGCCCCAGAGCCGCCCAGAACGGCGCAAGAGGGTCCCAAGAAGGCCCCAAGAGGGGCCCAAGAGAGGGAACGCGAACTGAAAAATCAAGGCCCCAAGAGGCCCCCAAGAGGCCCCAAGAGGCCCCAAGAGGCCCCCAGAGGCCCCCAAGAAGCCCAAAAGAGGGTCCAAGAGGCGCCAAGACGGATTCCAGAAGGCCCAAGAGGCCACCAAGATACCCAAGAGGCGTCCAAGAGGTCTCCCAACAGAGCTCGAAGATAACCAAACACATGTATGTTCCATAGGTGTTTGAACAATTCTGGCGTTTCCGCCTGTTCCACTTCCCGACGCGGCAAAACTCTCCGTGAGGCTCCGAGGATCGCCCCAAGACGGCCCAATAGGCTTCAAAAGCGCGCCAAGACGACACAGTAGGCTTCAAAGGCGCCGAAGAGATGTCCAAGACGGCCCGAGAGGGCCCCGACCGCGGCCTAGGATCGGGAACGTGAACCGAGATCCCGAGATCTTCGCCCCAGGAGACCCCCAGGAGGCTTACGAGGTCCCCAAGAAGTCCCAAAGAGGTCCAAAAGAGCCCCGAGAGAGGCCCCGAGGGCACTTGAGAAAGAAAAGGGTTGTCCAACATTTTGTGTTTCAAAGTTCGCCTGGCAGGTTCGCTACGCTTGTCAAAAGGAAATATCAGATTCCATCCTCCGTCTTTTCCTCCTCCTCGTCCTCCTCCTCCTCCTCCTCCTCCTCTTTCTCCTCCTCCGGTTCCTGCTCCTCCGCGGCCTCTTCCACCCTCTCAAACTCCTCCTCATCCTCCTTCTCCTTCTCCCCCAGGGAAACCCTTCACCTCCCCATTCTACTCCATCATCCTCCGGCTACGTCCAGCCGCGGCGAATAGAAGGGCCCCCGAAGTGCCTTTGGAGCCCGACTTAATCAAGACGTCGTAGGTGAACGGTATGAAGTCTTGGAAACCGCTTCGGCCGTCTTCGTGGTTCTTGGAAGCCTCGGCAGAGCAGTATCATGGAATAGAGATCCCAAAGGGTTCGACCATCCAGCCTAGCTAGATCTTGAACGCGCGCGAAGCGCGCGATGGCTCTAGTATATACACATATACATATACATATACATATACATATATATGTGTGTGTGTGTGTGCCCCCCGGGGGGCAAACACATCCATGCCCGCCGCCTGCGGGGGTCCGCGAAGATCAAACGCCCAGACGGTGGTTATCCGTAAACTCCCGCCTCGGTCCATCTGAAACCAGGAATCGAGCAGGGACCGACCGTCCCGGCATTCCTATAGTCATACCACGATTTCTTAGAACCTAAAAATGTTCTAAGAATAACAACAATGCTCTTAGAACATAAGACCGGTGTGTTAAAACAAGAAGGTCCCGGCCAGACATGTTCAAAAAATCCTTCGTGGAATCCACAGAAGGTTCCTAGAACATTGCTTGGTAGGGCCAGAGGCGAGCCAGGAGGCTTCGCCACTGCTTGAGCACTGGCACCGCGCCCCCCGCGTCTCTCGCCCCACAGCCAAGCCCAGCACCTTCTGGGTTTGTTCCTATATCTTCTGGGTTTTTGTCTGGGTCTTTGTCTTCCCCCCCCACTCCCCATATCTTCCCATATCTTCTCGGGGATCGACGATTCCTTGTGTCTGTGTTATTCTTCCCCTCCTGAGTAAAACCAGGAAGCTCCCCGCGTCGGGCCCGAGCCGGACGACGGCCGCTGGGCGCCCCCCAAAAAACACGGCCCAGCGGCGGCCGCAGAGCGGCTCCAGAGGCGGCCCCCCACGCCGCCGCGGACCGCCGGCGGGGATCGCACTCCAGGCCGGGGGAGAAGCCGCCAGCCCTGTCGGCGTGTGTGCAGGGCCTCCTCCTCGTCTTCGTCGTCGTCTCCGTCTTCGTCGTCTCCTCCCTGTGTCTCCGTCAATGGGTGGCCTCCGCCGTCCCCCGGCTCTCTTTTTTCGCGGGGCCTTTTTTTGAGCGCGCCAGCAGAAGCGAAATGGAACAGCGTCGCAGCTGATTCGAAGGGAAGCCCCTTGACCCTTTCCATTTGATCCCTTCCCCGCGGTGGCGGAGGAGCAGGAGGAGGAGGAGGAGGAGGAGGAGGAGGAGGAGGAGGAGGAGGAGGTGGAGGTGGAGGAGGAGGTGGAGAAGGAGGAGGAGAAGGACCCCTCCCCCCCTCCCACTTGTGGTGGTGGTGGTGGAGAACAAGCCCACCAGGGGCGGCAGTGGCCAAAGAGGGCACGCACCGCAGCGCCCTCCCGGTGTCCGCAGCGCGAGGGGCGCATCCCCCGCGGGCGGTCCTCCCGGGGCCCACGAAGAACCACGGAGACGCGGCCAGGGTGGTCCCAAAGGGCCTCCCAAGTCAGTTTGAGTACGCAAGCAAAGGTCCGATCGGACGCCTCGAAGCGTCACGCCCCACTCGTGAGGACGGCGAAACTGTAGAACAGGCCTGCCATGGCGAGCAACGCTGGCGGCGAAGGAGGAAAACCGGATGCAGTATCGAAGAGGACCCAAATCCGAAGAGGATCGGTTCAAGACGACCAAGCAGCCTCCGCGCGGCCCAGGACGTGTCCAAGACGCCCCAGGAGACCTCCCAGAGCGCTCTCAAGACAGCCTGAGAAGCCGAAACTGTGTATCCGTAGGTTTTTCAGCGTTTTGGGCGTTCTCACCTTCTCGACTTCCCAACGCGCCAAGTCGCCCTAGAGGGGCTCCATCCGTATCGCCACAATAGCCGAATAGGTCTCCAAGAGACCCCCACAACGATCCAAGACCGTCCAAGAAGCCGCCAAGACGGCCCCAGATGCCTCCAAGAGGGTCCCAAGAGACTGCCCAGACGGACGGTGCTAGGAGTAGGTAGGATGGGAGAGGGATGAAAAGGCAACTCTGAAGGAAAAGATGGGACGCCGAGAGATGATCGCGACGCTGCACCGTCATGCACCACCCAGATTTCCTCAACATTGCTCTGAACCTCTTTCAGAAGCCCCCCAAAGCGGCCCAGCAGGGCCCCAAGAGGACCCCAGGCAGGGCACGAAGAAGCCAAGCTCGTACCGCTGTCCTCACGTGCCTCTCCCTCTCACTGTTCTCACGAAAGATGCCCGCCTCCTCGCCCTTCCGGGTGTCGAAGGATGGCTCGTCCTGCTTCTCCTCCCTCTCATCCCCCTCCTGCTCCCCTTCCAAGCCACCATCAACCCCAACCTCCTCATCTTGCTCCTCCTCCACATCCCCCTGCACTTCCCCCAAGTGCTCAGCCCCCACCCCCCTCAATCTATGCATCCCCCTCCCCATGCTCCTCCATGTCCTCGTCACCCTCTTCCTCCTTCTCCTTCTCCTCCTCCTTCTTCACCTCGCGTCCTCCTCCTCCTCCTCCTCCTCGTCCTGCTCCTCATGCGGCTCATCTTGCTTCTCATCCTCCTGCTGCTCCTCCTCCTCCTCCTCCTCCTCCTCGTTTTATCTCCTCCTGCTGCCTCTCTCACTCTCCCCCCCTCCTCCTCTTCCTCCTTCTCCTCATCCTCGGCGTCGACGTCGTCGTTTTCAGGGTCGGCGGCAGGCGGCACTGGCCGGAAGGCCTTCTCAATAGCGAACCGCCCCCGTCGTCCAAGAGGCCCCCAAGAGGCCCGCAGGCGGCCCAACAGAGGCCCAAAAACTGGCCCCTATAAGAGGCCTCCCAGCTGCCGCCGAGAGGCCCCCGAGAGGCCCCCTACGAGATCCCAACGAACATCCTACAGGCGAATCGAGCCGAAATCGGAAACCATCGGTCGGCGGCGCGCCAACGGGGGCTCCCCAGCTTCGCGCGTCGCGCTGCGCGAAGCGCGCTGCGCGAAGCACGCTGCGCGAAGCGCGCTACGCGAAGCGCGAATAGCTTCGCGCCCGCGCGCGCGCCGCCTCCCAGGGGAGGAGAGGAGGACGAAGAGGAAGCGGAGCCGAACCGCGCCGCGCGAACAGCCTCGCGCCGTCGGAGGGCGCCCCTGCTAAAGGGGGCAGAGGGAGGTGGGAATCTGGACGCCCGAAATGGGTGGCGAAAACATGGGCACTATGCCCAACAGCACATGTTGTCCCAAACCAACAGCGGCCGCTGCTGGGCGGGCGGCCTCCTGCCTCGAAATGGACACAGGCCGCGGCGGCGCGGACAGCGAGCCCTGTTCAAAATGAACAGGAACTGCTGTTGGGCATTGTACCCATTCTTTCAGTACCCATTTCGTGCGTGCATTGGGAGTCCCGAAACGGTGCGGTGACGGACCGTGCGGTGACCTCGAAATCCCCCAAGACCTCACCGCACGGTCCGTCACCGCACGGTTTTGGGACCTCGGAGGCCCCTGTCGCCCGAGACGTCCTCGGAGGACGACCCGAGTCCCAAAACCGTGCGGTGACCCCGAATCCCCATCGACTCACCGCACGGTGTGGTCACCGCACCGTTTGGGGGCCCCGTGCAGACCAGAGGAGGCGCTGTGTTTTGGAGGGCGCCGGCCCCGCATCCACGGGGGCGAGGCCGGGGCCTCCTGAGATGCAGCCCCCCTCTGAGAAGCCCCCTCCCCCTCCCCCCCCCATACCCTGCAGGTCGGGCGTGTCCCCCTACAGGGGGATCCTGGACGATAAAAGAAGGAATGCTCAAGAAATATCCAACACATGCCCAAACATAATACTAAAAAATAGTCCCCAGACTATTTTTGTGGCTTCCCCCTGCAGAGGGACGGGCCCGACTTGAAACCTCGGCCCCTCTTCGGCGCGTGGCCGACTCGACATCGAGCCGCATCGAATGGGAGGGGTCGACACGAGCCCTGCGCCCCCCCCCCCGCGGGGCGGGCGGGCGGGCGGGCCGGCGCCGCCCGCCGCGCCGCCCGCCGCGCTGCCGGCCCTGGGCGGAGGGGTGGCGGCGGGCGCGGCGCGGAGGCGGATGCTCAGCTGCTGCTGCACCGAGCGCAGGGTCTCCAGCTTGGCCTTCGCGGGGGACGAAAAGCCAGCACCGACCAGCCAGAACTGGGGGAGCTGTGGTCCTTACCCCCCTGGGGGAACCCATCGCCTCGAGAGGGGTGTCGAAATAGATGGGTCCCCTAGGGGGGTAAGGACCAAAGCTCCCCCAACTGTGGCTGGCCTGCAACATCGAGCATCGGGACATCCGGATCGGGTCAAGCTGTGTGTCAAAGTCCGCCGCATCTAGGGGGCCACATGCGAACCCTACCCCTACCCCCCACGACTTCTGAGGGGGAGGGTGGGGTAGGGTTCACATGTGGCCCCCTAGCATCGGCTCGGAGGCGGACGCTCAGCTGCTGGTGCTGGTGCTGGTGCTGGTGCTGGTGCTGCTGCTGCTGCACCGGGCTGTGCTGTCTACTACTCCCAAGGCTACAGCAGGCCCGCATCATACGGATGCGCGATAAGCATGCAAGGGCCTTGGGCGCCCATCTCGAAGCTTTTCGAGCGGGGCGCGGCCAACGAATGTGGCCAAGGATGGACCGAGGAGGCAAGGATGCACGGGTACCCTTGGGAAGGTTGCCGATCCTCACCATGCGGGTTGACTGTAGGCCCTGAGCTCGCATCGTCGACTCCCTCCCCCGCTCCCCTCACCTCCCCCTCCTCGTCCTCCTCCTCCTCGTCCTCCTCCTCCCGGACCCTGGAGCCTGGTGGCGCGGAGTGCCGCCCTCCTCCTCCTCCTCCTCCTCCTCCTCCTCCTCCTCCTCCTCCTCCTCCTCCTCCTCCTCCTCTCCTCTCTCTCTTCCTCCTTCTTTTCCTCCTCCTCCTCCTCTTCCTCCTCCTCCTCTTCCACCTTCTCCTCTTTCCTCCTCCTCCTTCTCTTCCACCTTCTCCTACTCTTCCTCCTCCTCCTCCTCCTCCTTCTCCTCATCCTCCTCATCCTCCTCCTCCTCTTCCTCCCCCTCCTCCTCCTCCCCCTGACGGCGCAGAGGGGGCGACATTTTGAGCAGGCAAGGGGCCTCTGAGACACCCTTCAGCCTTCCACGGGGGCCATTACCTGAGCACGTGGTCCCCTCTTGAAAGCCTTTTTCCCCGCCCCACCCCACCCCACCCCGCACGCGCCGCCAACTCAGTCCTCCCTCCTCCCTCCCCCTCCCCTTTTCAACGCCTGGGGAAAAGCTGGAAGAGGGGGGGAAACAAACCCAATGCACCCCGCAGCCAACCGAACCGAACGAGGGAGCCACGATATTGTCAATTATTGAATGAGGCGGTCACCCCAGCCGCTGGAAGGTTCGGCTTGCGGGGGAACCCCGTTCACGGGTGTCATCAGGCATTCAAGTTATTTCAAACAGGCGTTCTGGCGCGAATGCCCTCCCAAGTGACTGGGTCGTTGCATAGGTATGTCAACACTGGGGACTACCGGGTGGCAACCGAACCGCCAGTCGAAACATTAAATGAAACGGCTTGCCTTGACCACGAGGTAGCCATTGACGACGTCAAACGGAGGGTCCACTGAAAACTGGGGTCAAACAGGGATTGGCAGAATCGACGCGCTATCACTAGCACAATGGGCAAGCTCAAAGCCAGGCGGACTAAACACAGTACGGCTCGCCCTAGGAGCGGCGCCCTCATCGTCAACGCCAACTTCGGGCCCCAAAAACCTCGGGCCCCAAGACACGGTGGGGGGCACGAGCAGCAATAACGATGACCCCCGAGGACGGCGAAGGGAGGCGCTAGCCGAGGAGGAGGAGGAGGAGGAGGAGGAGGAGGACGACGACGACGACGACAACGAACGACGAACACCTCTCGGAGCAATGGATGTCTCCAGCCAGGCACGAACGTTCTAGGAGCGACCCATCGGCCGCGAATTCGGGCCTCCTGCCCGCCCTCCAAGCTTACAGGGCTGGAACACCTCAAGTTGCACCGAACGCTCAAACCGAAAGGCCGAGGAGACGCGCGGCCGAGCCCGACAGGCCCTCACGGAAACCGGAGGCGCGGAAAACGCGAACAAAACGAACAGGTCCGGCAGCAGGCCCCTTCGGAAGGAGGAGGAGGAGGAGGAGTAGGGGAGGAGGAGGAGGAGGAGGAGGAGGAGGAGGAGGAGGAAGAGAAGGAGGAGGAGGAGGAGGCGGAGGAGGAGGAGGAGGAGGCGGAGGAGGAGGGGCTGCCGCTGGCGGCAGGCGCGGTCCTGGCCTCAACGCCAGCCCTTGGAGTCGTGGTGATACCACTCGTGGGCGTCAGAGGCATAGGTCGTCTCGGCGTCCTCGGCCTCGCCTCCACTATCGCACTCCTTCAATACCGGCGGCGTGGCCGATGGCCGCCCTCCGTCTCCTGGCGGGGGCTGCCGGGCGGCATCTCCTGGGCCCCCATCCAGCGCGGTCACGCAGCTCGCGCCGCTGGACGCGGGCCCGCGCGCGTCCCAGCCCTCGGCCCAGGTGCGCGGCGCGCCGCCTGCATGGCGCTGCGAACGCGCTCGACGCCTCGGGCACCAGCCAGAGCCACGCGCCTCGCTCGGCATGGAACCGGCGACGACGTTGCCCGCTTGTCTCCGCCTGTCATGCGCGGTTCTGGCCGCATCCTTGGCCGCGCGAGCCCTCGCGTCGACGGCTTCCACACCCTGGCCCCCCATCTCAGCCAACCTGGCTCTCCATGGGCGGCGGCGATCGCCTGCGCCCCTTGAGGCGCAGTCCCAGGCGCGACAGACCGCGCCCTTGCTGTCGCGGCGCGCCCTCGAGGGGCCCTGGCTCAACGCTGGAACCATCTCAAAAACGCAGTCCTCTCCGGCCCACGTTTCCTGGCTGGGGCCCCTCAGACAGGGGCAGCGATCGATCAGCTGTTCGCAGGACCCCCCCGTCGTCGTCGACTGTCACTATCGCCCAGCCAGCGCAGCGCAGCGCGTCGTTCCCGGCGTCCCAGGTGTTGCCGTCGACGAATGCGTCGCCCGCAACGTGCCGCCTGCTGGCTCGGCGCGCCACGCCAGGCGGGCGCCCTCGGTGGCTTCCGCCACGGAGCAGCACTGCGAGGGGCTCGGCAGCTAGGATCTCGCGAAGAGCTCCCCCGCCGCCTCGCCGCGCGACCTCGCGCCCGACACCGCCGCCGCGCGCTTGGAGGGGCATCGGCCACCTCCTGCGTGCCGCGGCAGAGTCGCGCTCGAAGTGCCAGTGCTGCAAGATCCCGCGCGCCGCCTGGCGCAGCCCGCACCGGTCGTCGCCCGCCACGCACGCGTCGCAGAGGCTGGCCCGCGCCCAGCGGGGTCCTCTGACGCGGCCCCCAAGAGCGCGCCGATGTGGAGCCCCCCGCCCCTCATCGCCGCCACGCCTGGACAGCAGCACTGCCGTCGGCTCCCAAGTCAACGGAAATGCCCAAGCGCTTCCCCCTCGGAGACGCGCCATCGCCAGCGCTGCTCGCGCCCCCCGATCACCTCCGCGACGGCCCCCAGGACATCCACTCCGCGCTGGGCCTCTCGCCCCGAGGATGGCCCAGCGCGACGGAGCTGGGCGCCGCGATGCCAGCCCAGCTCAAAACGAGTTGGAACGCCCCCGCTGGGCGCCTGTAGCGGGCCCAAGGCCTCCCGATCCGTCGCCCACTGGCTGCAGCGCCGCGCCGTCGCTGGGGGGCCCCAGAGCTAGGCCCCCCCGATCCACGAGCCGCAGCAGCGCGGCAGGGGCGCGCGGGGCGCGCCCCGCGCTCGCCGGGGCGGCCTCGGAGGAATCCGGCAGCGCATCTCTCGCAAACCCAGCCGCCCCCATCGCGAGCGACTTCTCGTCTGCTCTCGACCAGCTGCGCGTGGTCGCCAGCAGCGGGCGCGCCGCGCAGCACAGGGGCCGGCCCTGCACATCCGTTAATAGTCCATAACATGGTTTCCGACATGGCAGCGGTCATCTTAATTTTGAACGCGTCGACCAGCCCGGCAGGCAGCAGGCGCTGCGCGGCGCCGACGTCGGCGCCGCGCAGCGCCTGCTCGGGGGTCGCCGTCGCGGCCGAGGCAATCGTCGACCGAAACGCCTGCGGCCTCTGGGCTGGTCGCGCCCCGCGCAATGCGTGGGCGCCCGCCTCCAAATATCAACGCGCTGCACTTGCGGTCCCACCTGCCCCTCCTCGCCCCACGAGTCAATCTCCGCCGCGAGGGGGGCCGGGTCTGCGACTGCAAACTCGGAGCGGGCACCGGGCGCCAACGCCTGGAAGAACGCCAATCCCAACAGTGTGGCGCCCAGGGAGACTGCTGACGACAGCGCGGACGCGGACGCTGTCGGCGCTGATCCGAACGCGAGCTCACCCGCAGCGGTAGAGTTCAACCCGGGAGGATCCATGGCCCGAGCCGTCGTGGAACGCAACTGCGACCATGGCCCTGGCGCCAATGGGCCAGTTCCCCAACCCGCATGAGTCGCCAGCTTCCGCGGGCTCAGGCGCCAGATGTGGGACTATGGGCAGGCCGATGACGATGCCGAAGCTGTCGTAGCCGCAATCGGCAGCACCGCTACTGCATCCCACCTGAAGGCGAGCTCGCACCTCGAGGAGTTCCTCCGAGGACGGCCGCACGGCGCCGCCCTCGCCATGGCAACATTGCGCGCGTGAGCGCTCGTGGAACTGATGGCCCGTAGCTTCGCAGGCCTAGAGGTTGACGTGAACGCCAATATCGGCGGCGCTGCCTCCGCCGAGGGCAGAAGATCCCGGTCTCGGCGATGGTGGTCATGTGATGGCTTCCAGGGCGACGGAACTATTACCTCCGCCGTGATCTAGGATCATCCTGCCCCTGTGGAGGCCACCTCCTGCGCTGAAGCTGGTGCCAATTTCCACCGCGTGCTCGGCAAGTAGACATTCGCGCGCAGCTTGACCGCGCCCCGGGAGGCGCTCGCGCCTGTCCAGCGCGAGGCCGTCGGAGCAGAGCCATCGGCGGCGCCGGGATCCCGCGCGCAGCTGGCGCCGCGGGATGGCGCTTCGGCGGGGCGCCAGTTCAGCATGGTGGGCCAATGACAGCCTGACCTGGCACCGCTGGATGCCCCCACGGACGAGATTGCCCACCTCCTTGG